TCCAATGGTGGAGGTATGTCATACCGTAATGTCGCTCCATGAGGCATTATCGCAGATTGCCATGATGCACTCCATACACAGTGTCGCAGAGTTTCCGCACAGTTGTGCTTTGGCCGGTGGTGGTCCGCTTGAAAGTCGTCTTTTTCGGGTGGTCAGTGTGGAAAATCAGTTCCCGCACGTTCAGCTCCCCCAAATGTGAATCATATACTGGTATACAGTAAGCTTCCATGTGACTGCTTTCGATGCAAACAACGGACAGGTGTGAATTCATACCAGCTCTTACTGTATCTCAGACCTACAGAGACATCGTAGTGCGATACAGTACAGCGAGGTGGTGTGCATCGAACTGTGCTAGTCCCAAAAGTCATATAAAACCCCCCTGCAATTCCAACGTTTCATAGTATCGTGTTAACAATCCAGCGTTTACGACGCAGGAGCGATCGAGTCGCGCGAGATGACCGAGTCTTCAGATCCGCGGACGGTGGACGCGGTGGACTCTCGCATCGCGCGCGCGTCCGTGTCCGCGAGGACTTTGCGGCAATGGTCTTGCACGACAACCTAATGTGTACATATAAGAAGACCACCCCACTATATATGGACGTAGTGTATATATATATCGCGGTGTACCTTGTAGCGGCGGGCTTTGAGCCCACTCAGGGACGTCAGCGCTACCGTCAACGCGCAGTACAAACCACTGGCGACCAGTGTCGCATACGGGGCCACCTGGATGCTCCAACACGTGCGGCCTTTGCTGTTGTCTCGGCATCGGGACAGTTGGTCAGCGTAAAACGCGGTTTTCAGGATCGGTGTATACACAAACAGGTACCAGCACCCCACGACGGCCATTTGCAAGATGGCTACGACATTTGAGAGGGGTGACGGATGTCCTGTTGGGGAGGCACAACATACCGGTGAACACGCATAAGCCCACGACGTAGTCTTCCGTGCTCGTCCGATGTTTGTACGCAACCATGACCACAACCCACAGCAACACGACGATCGACAAACCCGCAGCCAACGACATCATGAGCTGAATGGTTAGAAGCGGTGTGCCGCAATGCACCGACAACACTTGGCAGAGTTGCTTTTGGTATTCCCCGCTTCCCAAAAGCGAGCAGTCGGGGTACTGGTACGACGCGCTACGAACAATGCGACGGGTGGGATAGAGGGAACGGACGAAGACCATGAACGTACCATTGCCCCTGATAAAACTCCACGGCCGTTTGTTGGATGGGAAGCCAGAACGAGTTGCCCGGGTCAAACCAGTCGTCGCCACGACGGGCTGTGTAGTTGGCCCACAGTCCGATGCCTTGGACGTACTCTGCGGTTCCAATGTCCCCGCGCTGTCCCATCCAATGGGCTGACACCATGCAGTACCACACGAGCACCGCAAGGGACGCAGCGAAGAAGACACCTATCGTCAATGTAAATGTCCGTGCCATGTATCACATGGGTGCTGTACATGTGCCATCGAGTACGAACGCGGACACCTTCATCTTGCCACTACCGACTGTAGTTCGTTTGTGCCCGACGAGTGCGAAACTCTCCCAAAGTTGAGCTAAATTTCAACCAAAGTTGTATCATTTCTCAGCAAATATAGGCAAAATCTGCCCCTATTCTGCAAAACTGCCCAGTATTTTTAGGAATTTGATGAAATATGACACCCAAACATATCCGGATCTCGTTGTGCTGTGTCAGCGAGTACTGTATCTGGACGATGGCACCATTACACTATTCAGCCAGGTCGTCGACATCAACATGACGGCATCTGCAGGAGTTGTGGAGCCTCGTAAGCCATTGTCACAAGCAGAACTCATTCTGGAAGACATTGCAGCGGAGTATGCCGCCAAGCGCGCCGCGGGGTTGGTCCCTATGAAACCTGTGCCGGCACGCGCGTTGCTATGGGAAGAGATGGCGCGGCAAAAGAGTCGGTCGGGGTCTCGCAAAGGCTGCTTGTTTGGGCGAGACGACGCTGTCAAGTGTGGATGCACATCGTATTGCCAGTCCTACACGGACAAGGGGTCGATTTTGTGCGTGCAATGCGGCCACGGTGCGCCGTGGCACAAGATTGTCGGCGGCGAGCGCGTGCTGGACATGGTGTCCATCGTGGAAAGCATGAACTTAGACGAGGACTACGACAGCCAAGTGGACAGTTTATACAGCGAGTTTGGCTCGGAAATGTCCGACGACGACGAAGACATCAGCAACGAAGTCGCACGGCCGTACCACCTCCATCCTAACAACTCGAGCTCGTTTGGGATGTCGAGCTTTGGACGGCCGTCCGCGCTCAAGTCTGGAGGAGGTCGAACGAGCGACTTGAGTCGCTTGCTCAGCTTGGAAGGGTCTGGCCACGACGAAATCGCCGACGCGCTGCTTCGTGGAATGGCGCAGAGCAATGGCAAGTCGTCGTCGTACTCGAATGTGTCTCAGCTGTAGGGTTATTGTTTGCCTAACAAGGTGTTGATGGTTATGTTGATGGCACAAAAGAGTTGACGTTTGTCGAGCACTACTTTGAAGTGGTCGACTGCAAACAACACAGACATGTAGGTCACAGTGCGTCCACGTCATATACCAAGTTGTACTTCAAGGGTCGGGAATCTGTACCTGAACCCAACGCAGCAATGGAACTACTATTAACGTAGTAGTACTACGTAGTATTAATACATCCAGTAATGAAAGTAGCCCAAGGCTACTAACGTTACTCCGGAGTACTATCTACGGTAGCGAAGATGAATTCAAAGGGGAATCGGCCAATTTTAGTGCAGGTCTAGTGAAAATACACTGTCTTGTAAGCACAGTATTACATATCAACTTATGAACGTTATAACAACGTCCGTCGTGACAATGGTGAACCACCAGCTTAGTGCAATGTACAGTACTGTACTGTACCTGTGCACAGTCATGTGGACCGCAGTGTAACCTTTCCTGGCTAACTCACGACACATGCACGAGTATTCGCATTGGATACGTGCATGCATGATGCAAAGTTTGCCGATAGATGCGTCGGTCGTGGCGGAGGTTGCACGCGGCGGGTGGAGCTCTTGAGGTTTCTGTATTTTCGTTGGAATATATTGTTAACAAAGGATAGACTACATAACTAATAGGTGGGCTGAATTTTCTTGACTTCTACCAAGAGTTCGTCGTACGATTCTTGGACGTTGAACCCGTGCTTGCCGGGGGTGATCATGATGCAGCTAGTGGGGCGCTTCGACGACGCCGACGCGCCCAGGTCGACCTTGGACGGCGTGAATACGTACGCGATGTCGTTGCTTTCGCACAGCACGGGAATGTGGGAGATGACGTCGATGGGCGAAATATCACCGGCAATCACACACAGCCCCTTTTCGCCCTTGCGAATGGCCTTGACCACTTCCTTCACCCCTCGCTTCGTGCACTTGACCTTGGTGGACTTTTTGACGAGTTTGTACAGCTTCTTGGTGAGCTTCTTCACCGCCAGAGGCTGCGCGATCACGCTCACGTGCTTGACGCGCTCCTCGTACGTCACGCCCTTGGTCGATTCTTCCGTGTCGCTCATACTCGCTTTAATGGATCTATGGCTTGAAAATGCAAAAAACCAATCAACCCACCCGCGGGATCCACCAACCAAATCCACTTTGTTCTGATTGGCTACTTATTCGACGCACACTATTTGAATGCGATTAACCGAAAAATATTGTAGTTGTCTCATTTTGAAGAACATTTGACAAAAAGTGCCTATTTTTCTCATTTCCAGCGAATTCTTCGACCTCGTTTCTGGGAGGCGACCTTGACAACCCCCAAACGCCCCTGCAAAGGTGCGCAGGAGTTGCAAGTGCCAACACCCTCCGCCTTCCTCAGCCCAATAATGTAAGGAAGGATTCATAGCATGGGTGTTGAACTACACTGGTCCGTCCTCAACGTTAACGTAACCGCATGTCTTTCACGTTGATAAATCGAGAACACGTGCCCCACTTTCGTCCATGATCTACGAGACTTCAACCTCATGCTGCATCAACCACCCAAAGAATTGTCCTCTGCAGCGATACATGTAGTACTCACTCGCCATTTTATCGAACCTGATGTTCGTCTTTGTAAGCACTAGTATTCGAATAACGTAGGATGTATGGATGTCATCAAGTGACAAAGACTATTCAAGCCAATCCCCCATAGTAAAACCAAAGAACAAGGCGCTCAAGAGTTTTTCGAACGGAAAGAAGCAGCATCAAGTTCTGTCGAGTGTGTATGTGTGTGTCGACGTCTGTCTATGACAGAAGCCGCAGTTGCCTCTCATGGAGTCTCTGATCTTCCCCCTTGGGTTGGGCGACCGACACCGACCCTTCATGCATTCACGTTGACATAGCGATTGTTTGGGTTCGGTTATCTTGAACTGTGTATGCCTGCAAGCTTACATGGGATTTTCCAACATTCTGGCTCGTAGTCCATGGTTTGGGACCGCCTGTTTCTTTTTTCCATGTGCGGATTTCAATTTCATTGTTGTTTAGAATGCGGGTAACGTCATGACAATTAAATGTATCGTGCGCACCTTTTGGCGGGACGATGCGAAACTGTGGAGCATTAATATTCATACTGGGAGTAGAAATTAGTGGTAACCCTCCTTGCCGGATGCTGATCATCGCCACTTCTGAAGTTGCCGACTGCCGCACATCGTCGATTTATCGGCCGGTGGCATCTGAAGCAACCTTGCTAGTCCCTTAGGCTATTTCTCCTTGCACCCCCTCCAGCTTGATGGACTTGATTTGCTGCGAAGACCCATCTGCGCTCACTCCATGCTCTGACGAGTACGACGACGCCGCGCCTCTTGACATGGACACGGCCATTGAGATCCTCGTCAGAGTGATTGAAACTGAATCCTCGTACCCCCGCTCGATCGATTACCTCGCGACAGTCCAAACGCACGGAATGGAGGCCGGGTGGCGCCGCCGCGTGTGCGACTGGATGGTCAACACCCGCAAGATCTTCGACCTCAGCCCCGACACGGTGGCATGTGCGGTCCACCTGATGGATCAATGTTTATGTGTGCTGTCCGTGGACAAGATTGTGTTGCAACTGGTGTCTGTCATGTGTTTGTCCGTTGCGTCCAAAGTCCACGAGAACCGTGCGATCTCGATCGAGGAAATCGATTTGTTGTGCCAAGGCAAGTACCCCCGCGCGGAAATGGTCAAGATGGAAATGCGCATCTTGGAGACCGCTGCATGGAAGCTGAATCCCCCGTCCGCGGTCGGCATTGCGCGGGACTTGCTCGCACTCGAAGCATGTTCGGCCCATGGATGTGCCGTCGACATTCCCGCCATCGAGAGCATGGTCACCCACCTGCTCGACGCGTGTTTGAGCGAATATGCGCTTATGCCCATCCTCGAATCGGTCAAGGCCCTAGCGGCCCTAGAAGCGGTGTGCTTAACGCAGTTCCACATGGCGTCGCCAGTCGTGCAGTATGTGTTGGATGAACTGCATTTCCCCGAGCACCGCTTTCACGAATGTGTCCAAGTCATGCTCGAGATATCCCAGAAGGTGTTTGCCATCGGCGAGCCCCACATGGAGAACACTTCATCGTCGGGGGGCAAGCGACATGCACCGACGCAGCGGTCGGCGACCCCCACCGGCGTGGACGCGCCCCAGCATCTCATCACGACAACGGTGGCTCGGTCCCCTAGCAGCACTCACATCCACAAGAAAGCCCGCCGCGGCTAAGTGGACTCGTACAAGGTGGTGGTAGTAGTAGATGGCAACCCCTTATTTTATTCTCCTCAATGGGAACTCGTGCTTATTTATCCATGCCGCTAAAATGGCGACAAAATCAGCTTGATTTTAGTATAGTATACTCTACGTGAATATAATGTACAAGATCGCATTGCAATATGGACTTGACTACTGTATGGAAAAAAGCAACCATTTGGCTACCAAAGTAAATGCCACCGCTTCAACTGGCCGAGAAACGTCTTCAAGGACGAAGGCCGCCATAACGTTACAGTAGATGATGACCATGGAAGCATCGCATCGCGTTGTGCTGGTGCACTTCTGTGGAGGTGGTCTTGACTTGCCTGCGTCGATGAACCAACCATGGGGACATTGGTTGTCAGCGACGAAAGTAGCCTGACGCCATTCTTATCTGGTTCTTACCGATGTGTACACGCGGGAGCAATTGATGACATAGCGTTGTTCCAAGTTAGCCATGATGTGTGGTTGAGTGTGGCTGTGGCATGCCAGCGCGGACTGCATCATGTCCTCCATCACACACCCGATCACCGGTTGAGATGTACGACCGCGACGCAAGCTGATATCTGGCTCACACATATCAAGTGACATGGTGTAGCAAATCCAACATGAAACCGTCGTAACCGCAATACAAACAAATAGCGGCCACACCAGGTGGATCACTTCTCATACACTGGAGCGATGCAGACGAGTAACAACGAAGACGACGGGATCCCGGCGACTATGGATCAAGCCAAGACAGAATCCACCAGTACGACCATCGTGTCGTCTTCTTCTCGAGTACTGGTGCTTCCAAAACCATGCACCGACGTGCACGTTCGTACAGGGGGGTTTCAGAAAATTGAAGAGCGCACGTGGAACCTCACGCGGTCATCACGGCGTCAGCGGTCCTCGACTCCATCGGGCCCAAGTACCTAACTTCATAGCAAGTACCACCACTCTCCAGTGTGTTAGATTGGCTTTCCAGCACGCCCGTCTTAGCTTGACAAATCCTGAGACGTCACGCATGGTCATGCATGAGTAGACGCATGGCATCTATGGTACTGGACGTTGGCATGACAAATGTCGTTCGAGGCCGCAGAACCGATATGGAGCTACCCACCGCCTTCATCAACGTAGAGCGCACCTTGTGAGTTTCCTTTCAAGCACTGCATTCACCTTTGCTTTGAGATTCATGCACATGGTATGGTATCAAGCCGGTCAGGTCATCAACTTGTTAACGTGAACTGCCTTCATCGTAGCACGAAACGATGGAAGACAATCCACATAACGTGATGCAAGACGATCGGTTAACGACCTTATCCACGAGAGCTGTCCAATTCCCGTTAGCGTTATCGTTCATGTCCATCACCGAGTCGACGATGCCGACTCCTTTGCAGCGCTCCGTGATGACGTTTGGCGATGGTATAAATAGAGTGAAATGCAATCGGATTGGTGGAAATTATATTATTTTATCCAATGCGCGTCGACTGTTTTGGCGGGGCAATTGCATTTGTTTTCCGATTATCCACCGGGAACGATGGAGAAGAAGATGGAGAAGATGGTGCAGAACAATGTCCAGCAGCTCGGGAATCGCATCCCAAAGGCTAAGCGTGCCCAAACCATCCTTGACATGGCGCGGCTACAGCACGAACTGAAGCGGCGTGTGGTTGACGTCGACGAGGATGCTATTAACGACTCCACGACGGATGGCACGCCAGGGGTACGGTCGATCGAGTGGCATACACCAGGAACAGCCCCGACAACGTTACCGACACCCACACACATCCATGACGTTCGACCTTCGGCCACGCCGAGCAAGAAACGCCGTATCATAGACGTCAATGACAACACCGTCAAACCGCCATCGAATGTTGCACCAGCCAAACCTTCACTACCGCATGGTACGACCGAAATCAACAGCGTTGCCCCCCCGCCTACATCCTCCTCCACCATTGCGACTCATGCCATCCAGATGATTCCGCGAACTGAATCGGTATAGTTCATGCATGTCTTTCTGTTTTTGATGACAAACCAACCCAGGCGCAACCCGAGCCACAACCCGCCTATGTCGCACGGATGGTAAACCTGGACCCGGCGCAACGCTTCAATGGCCTAATGCAGCTGCCGCCGCCAACGCCATCGATGGATGCCATGCAGCTAACGGCCTCGTCGTCTTCCATGCCACCACCACGAACTCCGCCTCTACCCAAGTTGGCGGCGCCGCGCCCCCCTGTCGCCACACACATTCCAGACATTGGTACTAACTATCCGACATGGCGTTCGTCGCATATATATATATTGTCCTAGTACCCAAAACGTAGACTTTTGTGCTGCTGATTCGCCAAATCTAAGATCGATACTTACTATTTGTACTACATTTTGTATGTCAAAAGTTTATTTTTCTGTGGTGCTTGTACGCACACTAATGAAACGCACACTCGACTTCGACAGGTTGATACAGCAGCACTCTGATTGGCTCAATATATATATATATATATTTCCTTGTGCCAATGTATTTGAAGTGTTCATGTCTTGGGTAGTGTATATCGATTCCAGTTTCAAACCTCTACAATATTTGAATATATATTTCGTCCTAATCACCCCCCAGCTGCTGCGCCTATCAAGCGAACGTCGCCGCCTCCACCAGCCGCTTCTTCTCCCGCCGCTTCTTCTTCGCTGTCGAAAGACACTTCAAAGTCAGCGATGGCCAAGCCCAAGGCTCTGTCTGCTCTCTCGACCAGCTTCAAGTCCATGTGCTTCTCCACGGAAGACCCCGTCACGTCCATCGATGCCACGCCCGACGGCCAATGCGTGATCGCCGCCTTCTCCAATGGATCTGTACGTGACGAGTGTTGGTCTATCTATATACATGTCGTATATATGATATATTTGAGTCTTTGCACGGGATTAAACGAATGGGGGGTAGGTTCGGCTCTTTGATGTCAACAGCACATGCACCGAAGAACGGTACGTACTGGGTTTTATACTGTCTAGGGTCGTGATGCTATTGAAAAGTCTGAGGCTGGTCTTATAGTGTTGAAGGGCGTGATGCTATTGAAAAGTCTGAGGCTGGTCTTATACTGTCTAAGATTGTGATGTTGTTGATAAGTCTGAGGCTGGTCTTATAGTGTTGAAGGTCGTGATGCTATTGAAAAGTCTGAGGCTGGTCTTATAGTGTTGAAGGGCGTGATGCTATTGAAAAGTCTGAGGCTGGTCTTATACTGTCTAAGATTGTGATGTTGTTGATAAGTCTGAGGCTGGTCTTATAGTGTTGAAGGTCGTGATGCTATTGAAAAGTCTGAGGCTGGTCTTATAGTGTTGAAGGTCGTGATGTTATTGATACGTCTGAGGCTGGTCTTATAGTGTTGAAGGGC